GTTGTCTTGTTGAAGTATCCAGCCCCGGCGCAACTTCAACTTTGTCACTGATTCCTGAACATTGTTCGCAAGAATTTGCTGATACTGACTGGAATCCATGCGACCTTCAACTTTAACAAGATTGCCAGTATCTGCACTGGCCACAGCCCCACAGCATGATGGAACCACCACCAAATTTAACTGTGGGTAGCAAGTGTTTGTCTTGGAATGCTGTGTTCTTCTTCCGCCATGCATACCGCCCCTTGTTATGTCCAAATAACTCAATTTTAGTTTCATCAGTCCACAGCGCCTTATTCCAAAATGAAGCTGGCTTGTCCAAATGTGCTTTAGCATACCTCAAGTGACTCTTTTTGTGGCATGGGCACAGAAAAGGCTTCTGCTGCATTACCCTCCCATACAGTATGTCCTTGTATAAAGTGCGCTGAATAGTTCAACGATGCACAGTGACACCATGTGCAGCAAGATCATGTTGTAGGTCTTTGGAGCTGGTCTGTGGGTTGAGTTTGACTGTTCTCACCATCCTTCGCCTCTGCTTATCTGAGATTTTTCTTGGCCTGCCACTACGGGCCTTAACTAGAACTGTGCCTGTGGTCTTCCATTTCCTCACTATATTCCTCACAGTGGAAACTGACAGCTGAAATCTCTGAGCTAGCTTTTTGTATCCTTCCCCTAAACCATGATGTTGAACAATTTTTGTTTTCAGGTCATTTGACGGTTGTTTTAACATAACAGCATACGATTTTTATTTAAATTTTATTTAATAAATAAATACCATGGTTATTTTTTATTAAATTTTGCATGTCTGTGCTATTAAGTTATATATTGGTAATATGTGTTGCTTGTTCCATATTCATTGTTAAAGCAAAACTTGTTTGAGTTCATATTAAAATGTTCAATTGTTTATGTTGGCCCGTGACTTTGTTCAGATTTTAAATTTTGGCCCACTGTGTATTTGAGTTTGACACCCCTGCCCTAAACCATGAAGTTGAACAATCATTGTTTTCACGTCATTTGACAGTTGTTTTGGGGCTCCCATGTTGCCAGTCTTCAGAGAAGATGCAAAGGGAGAACAACTTGCAACTGGCCACTTTCACCTGTGTATGTAGGTCAAGGGTCAATGTGCTTACCCAAACAAATTTTGTGTTCCAATAATTAGTGCTAAAGGTATTCAAATCAAATAAAACAACAAGGGTGCCCAAATTCATGCACCTGCCTACTTTTGTTTAAGTAATTATTGCACACTTTCTGTAAATCCTATAACCTTCATTTCACTTCTTAAATAGTGATTGTTTGCTATATGATATATTTAATTGAAATTGCTGTTCCAAACAACCAATGATACATAAAGGAAAATCTTGAAAATGATCAGGGGTGCCCAAACCTTTTCATACCACTGTATTTGTGATGGACGGCACATCTGCACTCATCTAGAGTCTATCGGGCTTTTTCTGTGCTTTTCTTCACACTGTACCAATCAAACAACCTCTTCTGTTAGTAATTGTAAAAAAAAAGAAAAGTTTTACAATTGATGTCTGATATTTCTGATCATTGAAAACAACTAGAATAGAATAGAATAGCCTTTATTGTCATTGTAACACAGGGGTAAACGAAATTGAAGGTTTTTTTGTTATTTTCTTTGTTATCTTTTTTATTACCTCAATGCCTAAATCAAGGGTTAAACTTATTGGCCATTTATTATTATTGGCTATTCTCTTAGACGATTTGTGATAAACTTGAGTGCTTTTGATATATGAATTTTAGAGGAAAGTAGGATTGTGTTGTTCTAAAACAGTACCTACCTAAAGGTAAAGATCCACACTGATGAGGCTTCAGAGATTTACTAGGTTTACAGAGATTTATAGAAAGATAAACAATAGAGCCTTCCACAACTTTTTAGAGGATCTTTGAAAAATAGTCTTGCTCTGTCTAATAGACAATTGTCTTAGGGAGGCCAATACCTTCGTCTTCAACTGTGTACACTGCTTCCCCTCTCGATCATAACTGCATCAATTCTGATCCTGCCCATTCTTTTCAGATCCGTGCCTTTTTAAGTGCATGTACTTACAGTACTAACACCATTTGTGTCATTAATATCATATCTAACTCTAATTTCTTCTTCCTATAATTTAACGCCTCCTTCTTTCCTCCTAGGTGATTCTTATAATCCTACTGTAGCTGAAGAACTGCTGGGATCACTGATTCTGTTTCAATGATTTTAATGTAAATAACATGTTTGTTGTGCAGTAGCTGCAGCAAAGGTGCTTCTTTATTTGACCTTTGCTTGACGTAGCTTCCAGCTAGACTCTTATGTCTCTGCACCCTCTTCACACGGTTCCACCCACAGTTGCTGCGCATTGGTGGGGCACAAAGCGACTGGATTTTGCCCTGTACTGCCCAGACGCTCTGACCGCTTTTCCCACCGTGGCTTTACCACACCTCTTCCACGCATCCTACTGGGAGTCCACTGATGTGGTGTCTTTTCTCCTCAGACAAGTGAGTGAACAGTACACCGTCCCTGAACTCTTTCTGTGTACATAGTGGCTCAGTAACCCAGAGTCACTGAATCATCTCTTGCAGGTCATGAGACATGAAAACTCTAGCATCCTGGAGCTTGATGGGAAGGAAGTGTCGGAATTCACTCCATCCAAACCACGGGAGAAGTGGCTGCGTAAGAGGACTCGTGTGAAGATCAGGGTAGGGGTCAGACGGAGTTTCATACTTGATCACAGCACCTCTTCCTGGGCTTAGATCTGTTCTTTAACTTTGGAATCTTCTAACCAGAATTTATCACGAAGTACACCACTGGTGGTACTTTGGGGGTAAAAATGAGATGCAGAAAAATCAGAAACCCAATTCACTTACTTGCGTTTATTTGTATGTGTGAGTTCAGAATTAAATTTAAGTACTAGTTGTATTTCTTAGGAAAGCCTATTCTTCAGTGTTTTCATTTGTACAGTACATGTAAATCTTTTAGAACCACTAACTTGGTTCTAAAAACCAAGTTAGTGGTTCTAACTTGAGAGATCTTTCTACTTCTGGCTACTTTTTCCAATTCTATTTTTATATAGTTTCTCCAATGTAATTCTTATTTGGAGTCCTATTATTAACCTACTTTAACCTTTTGTTTATCAGAGCTAAATTCCCACAGGAAATATTTGCTTTTCTTGTTGTTACTTATATTCTTGATTTCTCTTTTTTTTGCACGTTTGCTTTACTGTACTGGCAGAATGTGACGGCCAACCACCGCGTGAATGACGCTGTCTTCACTGAAGACAGCCAGCAGGTGGTGACAGGTCGCTTCATGTATGGACCTCTGGACATGGTCACGCTGGCTGGAGAGAAGGTAACAGTTGTAGGTGCAATGGGTCGAGTGCTGCTTAGGAGCACTTGGTGTTATCAACCAGTCTCAAATTAATAACACAACCAGTCTCGTTAAAGTTATCTTTAATTATTATTTTAACTTACTAATATAGCAACACATGTGTTCCTTGGAGTATTACACATATACTATAATCAATAGTATCAATAACAACTAAATATCTGAAGGATTTTTAGAGATCTTGGCAAACTGGGTGGCTTCAATGAATAAAACGACAATGCAGACAAATACAGTTAACAGTAATCAAATGTATTAATACAACACCGTTAAGTTAATAACGGTGATAGAACTTATAAACAATGATCACAGCAATAAAACAAGGCACAATAGTGTGTATTGGTGTGTGTGTGTGTACATTTGTGTGTAGAAGAGGGAAAAAGAGAGAAAATGGAAGTAGGGAGAGACGAATCTTCTCGCTGGGGAGCGAGTGACTGAGCTCTCGAGGTGTGGTCACGTGCGCGGTCACGCAACGTGACTAGGAAAAGTAAGAAAACAGAGATAGAGGGGAGGTAACCCGGCGGTGCGGAGTTACAAGGAGCGTACACGCGCTCATTATTACTTGGAGTATTACACGTATACTATAATCAATAGTATTAATATCAACTAAATTCTGAAGGATTTTTAGAGATCTTGGCAAACTGGGTGGCTTCAATGAATAAAACGACAATGCAGACAAATACAGTTAACAGTAATCAAATGTATTAATACAACACCGTTAAGTTAATAACGGTGATAGAACTTATAAACAATGATCACAGCAATAAAACAAGGCACAATAGTGTGTATTGGTGTGTGTGTGTGTACATTTGTGTGTAGAAGAGGGAAAAAGAGAGAAAATGGAAGTAGGGAGAGACGAATCTTCTCGCTGGGGAGCGAGTGACTGAGCTCTCGAGGTGTGGTCACGTGCGCGGTCACGCAACGTGACTAAGAAAGTAAAAAAACCTCATAGGTGTGAAAAGGGTGTGTGTAGACACAGCAATACACTCAGGTACAATAAACAGGGCTCGTGATATCAAAGTATGTGGGGGAAGGGAGTCACACCGCGTGGTCTACTCAAGAAAAAGAACTTTGTCAGAGTTACCTAACCACAATACTTTATCACGAACCAACTCAAACAAACTTAACCGGTTATGGATACAATCAATAACCGTGTTAACCGTAAAGCACACACAAAATAGCAGAGGAAAGAAACATGCAACAAGAGAGAATTTCGGCAGCAAATTAACATACAACTTTCACGTTACACATTTACGAAAGTTACGTATGGACTCCTCGTACCTAGGCTTAATGCTTGACGCCTGGGAGAGTAATAACTAATGTGGCCAAAATGCCAGCCTTACTTGTAGGTGTCTGCTCGCGGTCCGGAGCAGAATACTTTTCGAACTTTGCGATCCTCGTAGAGGTGGGGACGTATAGGTTACGGTCCCGGCGGCGTAGTTGGTTTCCCGAGTCCACAGGTTCGTAGCGAGGGAAATCTCGCGCCTGGAATGGACCGACGTCGACGACGATATTTGGAAGAGACTAGCCGTTGGTTCGAAAAGTTCGAAATATCACCTATTGGCTGGTTTCAGGTTGAATTAGATGCTCTCTAGCTATGAAACTTTTCACCGTGGGTTGTGGCGAGTAGAAGTTTAAGCTAGGTCTTCTCCGTCTAGAGAGGTGAAGTGATGTGCTGCGCCTTGGAGTCCGGGTCAGAGAGCGCGATACCTGAGCTGCGCCCCGGTTTTAAGGGGTGCGGAGGTCACCGGACGTGACGTCAGTGGTTCCTCCTGGAAGCAGTGGGATTGTGGGAATAAGAGTTTTAACTGGGCTGTAGATGTACCTACACAGTTCTCCGCTGCCATCACACAGACGGTGACGTTTGTGTTTGTGCTAAATTTCCTTTGTTTGATTCGTGCCCAGGTGGACCTCCACATCATGACCAAGCCTCCTTCAGGTGAATGGGTCTTCTTTGACACAGGGATGACCAATAGTGGTGGACGTCTGTCCTTTATCATCCCAGAAGACAAGCGACTGGGCATTGGAGTCTATCCAGTTAAAATGGTTGTGAGGTGAGAGAAGTTAAAACTACATTTTTTTTTTCTATTTTAAAATGCATCCTTCTGTGTCTTTTCCTTTCTGATTTTTATTTCATACCTCTACCATACTTCTTCTTCTTCTCATTCGTCAGAGGTGACCACACGTCTGCAGACAGCTGCTTAACAGTTATTCCGCATGGCACAGAGTTTGTTGTCTTCAGTATTGATGGATCTTTTGCTGCAAGCGTCTCGATCATGGGCAGTGACCCCAAAGTACGAGCAGGAGCCGTGGATGTCGTCAGGTACAGGGCTGAGCTCTCCTGCTCTGTTGTCTTTAATAACATAATATTGAAGAAGTGTTGAGACCATTGTAGTGTATTTTTCTCTTGTTCTTTTTTCCCAGGCACTGGCAGGATTTAGGCTACCTAATCATCTATGTGACAGGACGCCCTGACATGCAGAAGCAGCGGGTAGTAGCTTGGTTGTCTCAGCACAACTTCCCTCATGGCATTGTCTCCTTCTGTGATGGTCTGGTCCACGACCCACTTAGACACAAGGCCAACTTCCTCAAGAACTTAACAGAGGTCATCACAATCTACTCTGTTTAAGCTTGACATTCACCATTAGTACTATTTATGTTTAAACCAGACCTACGTGGTTTGGTTTCAGGTTTCCATCTCAACATGCTCTCTACTTCTTTACACTATAATTTGTCATCTTTTTTCCACTGAAGAGGATCAAATTTTTAAATTATGTTAGAAGGAAAACAAAACCACTGATGGTTAATTGCATATGTATAAATGTAACACTTCTTTCTATTCAACATAACTGTTTCCAGGCTCAAATGAAGATTTTTGCTGGATATGGATCAACCAAAGACATTTCGGTCTACAACGCCATCGGCCTCCCTCCTTCACAGATATACATTGTTGGCCGACCAACCAAGAAGATGCAGCACCAGTGCCAGGTTCCTTTTGATTCAAATGTATTGTATTAAAACTACAGTATGTCACAAAAGTGAGTACACCCCTCACATTTCTGCAGAGATTTCATTATAATGTTTAATAGAACAACACTGAAGAAACATCGCTTTGACACAATGAAAAGTAGTCTGTGTAAAGCTTATATAGCAGTGTAAATTTATTTTTCCCTTCAAAAAAACTCAAAATATAGCCATTAATAGCTAAACCCCTGGCAACAAAAGTGAGTACACCCTAAAGACACTACAC